CACCACCATAAAGGAATAAATGAATGAATTAATGGTCAACCATCATTCCGTGCTTCCAATACAAGGTGACATAATTTAACTATTATAAAATATGATTTTTAATCCACCTCTCTTTTTGGCCATCTTTCCAGTTCTCTTGTTTCCTGCTTTTCTTTTCCTTTCCTTCTTTGTCATTGGTATCTGCATCCGCGGTCCCTCCAGTCGGTGACCGACAAGCTCACACCTTAATTATTCAAACTTATAAATCCTCATTTTCTAAACTATATTTAATTGTGTTATATAAATTAAACTATCAAATTTGTCCATTTAGGGTTGATTTGAAGAACAGATAAAACACTGCCTGAATTTTCAAAACATATAAATTAGTTAGAATAAATTAGGACTAACCATCCTACAGGGTAAATATCTACACTGTCACAGTCCATCCATTGATCATAATCCTCCTCCCATCCGTCAAAATGAACCTGAAACATTAAACTCAATGAGATATAGAACTAGGAATAGCAAAATATGGTTCGTTTATTACTGCACAATTGCGGTGTCTCACGGTGTCTCATGTTCAATGGCCTATTTAAAGTCATAACTTGAGTCTAAAAGTCGACTTTATTAAATATATACATATATGTATTTTATTAAGTCCGAATTAATTGAATATAAATACTGACGAAAAGATTTTTCTAAAAAGCTAAATAAATCTGAAAAGGAAGTTATTTCTAAAATAAAATGATTAAAAATCAACCTTGAGAAGATGACCGACAACCCTTGACACAGTGCTGACACAAACTAGTCTAGGATCCATCAAATCTGTACACTCAACCTTCATTCCAGTCTGAACAGCAGGAATACAACTTTAAATAAGAAGAAACTTAATCGTGGGAAGTGAAATCAAAAACACACTTTTATTTAGATATATCCTCAATTTATCATTAACCCTGTTTATTGTATTCTTTCTTGCTTGTAATCTTTAATTCAAAGAATTTATAATTTGGCACATTTTTTGTTTTGAGGATTTCCGAAGTTTATCAAGAATCAAATTTGTATCCAATTATAAAAGATTTTACCTAATGAATGTTGGAGTTTTAATAATTAAATGATCCAAAAGAATAAACGAACCAGCCAAATATATTGTATATAGATAAATGTTTGAACCCTGACCTTGAAAGCATGCTTCTGCTTGTCTCTAGTTGGAAAGATGTTGAGAGGTGCTGGCTGACTTTTGCTTGTTTGAAGATAGTTTATCCAGTTAAACGCAGCATCTGATCCACTCAGGACAGGGGACTAGAAGGAAAACAACAAGCATTAAAAAAAATTGCAGTCTTTTCATAATTTTTATTCTTTATTTCATTACTTTGTTTCATATTCTTATATCAATAAAAATATTCAACCAACTACTCAACTAGGGATTATAATCTATTCAGCTATATCATCAATCAATGATACATATTGATTTTCCAATCAAATCGAATCAAATAATCAATCACTATATGAATTAATGAGTTTAATCAATCAGCTAATCGATCAGTTTATGAATTCTATAACCAACCAATTCATCAATCAAACAATCACAAAATACCAATCAATTAACTAATCGATTAATCAATCAATTAACCATCAAATAACCAACCAGCCAACCAGCCAGCCAACCAACCAACCAAGAAACCAACCAACCAACAAGCCAACCAGCCAACCATCCAACCATCCAACCATCCAACCAGCCAACCAGCCAACCATCCAACCANTTTAACATAAAAACTTTATTTTAACATAAAAACTTTATTTTAACATAAAAACTTTATTTTAACATAAAAACTTTATTTTAACATAAAAACTTTATTTTAACATAAAAACTTTATTTTAACATAAAAACTTTATTTTAACATAAAAACTTTATTTTAACATAAAAACTTTATTTTAACATAAAAACTTTATTTTAACATAAAAACTTTATTTTAACATAAAAACTTTATTTTAACATAAAAACTTTATTTTAACATAAAAACTTTATTTTAACATAAAAACTTTATTTTAACATAAAAACTTTATTTTAACATAAAAACTTTATTTTAACATAAAAACTTTATTTTAACATAAAAACTTTATTTTAACATAAAAACTTTATTTTAACATAAAAACTTTATTTTAACATAAAAACTTTATTTTAACATAAAAACTTTATTTTAACATAAAAACTTTATTTTAACATAAAAACTTTATTTTAACATAAAAACTTTATTTTAACATAAAAACTTTATTTTAACATAAAAACTTTATTTTAACATAAAAACTTATTTTAACATTTTCTGCCTTACTTTCAAAATGTCTACAATATAGAAAAAATTGATCATAAGAAGGAATTCAAGATTTAAAATATTAATTTACTAATAAAAAAAGCCCTGACCTGATCATAATATATCCGAATCTCAAGACCTTCATTACTGTAGCAACACAGATGGTTGCCAGGTTGAGAGGATCTACGGCCTCCAGCTTGAGGCCGACCGTGAAGGCTCCCGAGGCCGGGGGGTACTCAGGGAACATATCCGCAGTCGTATCAGTCTCCAAATAGTTCTCCATTAGGCATCTAGAATATCATAATTTTCCTAATTTTATTTTTTGAATAACGACGCATTTCTTAGAAAAAGAATTAAGGGGTATTTATTTAAAATAAACTTTCCTTTTCTTAACAGTTGTGTAACTGTACATTTACTACCACTTAAATATTCAATGATTATCTGTTGGAAAAATCATAAATAAAGGGACTGTACACGTGATTTATAGTGACCCTCTGTTTATATAAAGGCATATGTCCGGTTCACAATCCTGTGTCTCACCATACATGACGGTTTGACATATTCAGGGTCACATAAAGTTACGTCTGCAGTCCCTATAAAGACTGACCTATCATGATATTCTGAGGTAGCTGCAATCTGATGTCCAACCCTCCTGGCCCAACCTACTGGATGAATCAGCGGACTCTCCTCGTGACACCAGAATCCTCGAAAATTCAAAATTCAAATATTTGAAAAAATTGCGCAGCAAAAATATTTGAAAAATATCAATTATTCAATTTAGTTACCTTCCTCCCCATTTCCATCGTCATATGAAAGCTGAAGACGACGACCGGTGACATCAACGACAGTGGCAACACGAACCTGAATTGACAACAATAATAGTTTCAAAGAATAAACAACAAACATTCCACCCAAAACAGAAGTCAAGTTTTAATGTAAAGTAAGTTGATGCTCTGTCGGAAAAACATGAAAAATTAAACATCAAAAGGCAAGTTTTTAAATGTCTTTTTAATACTATTTACCCAAAAATATATCTATATTCCCTAATTTAGCGAATAAACCCCTAAAAATGATTTCCACAGGAGGAGGGAGGGATTTGATTTGTTTTTTTTGTTGTTGACTTTTTAGGCGTTCGCTTGTTTTCCTCAAGGTCTTAATTCTTAAACATATGAACAGTGTACAGTGTACACTGTTCACCCTTTCGTTACAATAGTTTTTGTCGGCCACTGCAAACTGGACTGGTAACAGGTATTTTGTTGTTTTTACCTGACTTATCCTCATTTTATCCACAACCTCTAATTTCATCCCTTTACGAAATAAAGATGCTACGCTCTCCCAAACCTAAGGAGAGTTTTTTTTTGTATTTTTCTTTTTAATTTTTCCATACAGATTAAGATTTATTTATTTATATTTAAAAAACTTATTTCATTGTTTTTTTATTTGGTTTATAAAATTGAAAATAAAACAATATTTCAAATAGTCAAAACAACCAGTGACTTTTCGAATAAAAAATTATCAAAATGAATCATAAATGATTTTACATAAAAGATTTTACTTGATCATTATTTGCAAATAATTAAATTAAAAAATGTAAATTTTTAAAAATAACAACAAAAAAATATTATTTTACCACTTTATAGAAGTTGATGGGCAGAGTTCTAGCTCCTGTCAGTCTTTTTACAAGGAACTCTTTCCAGTCGCTGTATTTGGACTAAAATATTTTTTAAATCATTAAAAATATTCATGCACAATTCAATACAATTGAATTAAATTAAAAAGTCATGGATTGCCCATGGGCTCCTTGATCTAGTCAGGGTACGCCATTAAGATCCCTTCTATTATAGAAGGATTATTAAAAGTAAAAGAAAATTACGGGGAAAGAATTGAAAATATAAAAAAATGCAAAAGAAAAGTATTAAATACGAATGTCAAAAAAGAAAACGTGAGAAAAACATGTAAAAATAAAAACTTAATAAAAAATTGTAAAAAGGAAATTGAAAAATATTAAAAATGTAAAAAAAGAGAAAAAAGAGAAAAAAGTGAAAGCAAAAAGAGAATTGACGGTGCAAGGAAAAGAAAACTTCAGTATGATAAAATTGTGAGAACAACAATTTGACAGAAAAAGAAAGTTAAAAAAAGTGAATTGCCAATGACAGGTAGAAGGGTAGGTCATCTTTCTACCTGAATAGTTTTAGGAGGAATAAGTGGTTTGCCCTTGGTAGCACACCAGCCTACAGGGTGAACCTAGATAATCAAAATATATTCAGTTATGCTACAGGGTGAACCTAGTTAATTAAAATATATTTAGTTATGCTACAGGGTGAACCTAGTTAATTAAAATATATTTAGTTATGCTAAAGGCTGTTAACCTTACTATGCTTAACCATATTTGAATACCGTACAGTGTACACTGTACAGTGTACACTGTATAACTAGGGCAACAACACGGTTAAAATTTCGTTGTGTATTTTAAAAATAAACAATCTCAGTGTTATCAAAAACATCGTAAAATAGAGTTTGAATAAATACTTTAACTAAAAGAAGTTTTTAGGACTAAGTCCTAAAGGTGGATAGGATCCGCTCGAACGATAAATCCCGATCAACACTGTAATGGCGGGTAGCTCCCGGCTTATCATGTCTCACAGCTGGCTCATCAAAACATCGTGTTATAATAGAGTTTGCAAACAAAATATATCTTTAAAAATGTCATGCATATAATTATAATCCTTTTAGCAATTAAACAAAACCATTTAAATTTGTTGAAACTAAACCTTGTCAGAGCAGAGATTAACCCAGAAATCTTTACTTCCATCCTGTCCAAATCCTTCATATCTCAACAACACCTAAATACATATTATTTAATAATTCATTTTAAATCTTTCACTAAAATCAATCGATCACTTAACTCATCAAATCAAAACAAATCAATTTATTAATCCATTATTCCATCAGTCCATTAATCAGTAACTCCTTTAATCTGCCTGTCTGTCTGGGTGTCTGTCTGTCAGTCTGTCTATCCGTCTGTCTATCCGTCTGTCTATCCGTCTGTCTTTATCTATCTATCTATCTATCTATCTATCTATCTATCTATCTATCTATCTATCTATCTATCTATCTATCTATCTATCTATCTATCTATCTATCTATCTTGAACTCTATTTTATAAATCAATTAATAATTTTCTGAACCATGTCACACCATCTATAAAGCATTAATCCATGTACCTTATACCCTGATATTCTTAGCACTGTAGCAACCCAATAAGCTGTAGTAAACACCCCAGGCATAGGATCAACATCTCCGTTCTCAACCTCAACCTAGAACGTTAAATTAATTATTAAATATGCATTGAACATTTTTTAAAATAATAATAACAGATGTATCTGAAAGGGAACCTATAATACAACCCCAGACTGCCGTCTGGGTACAACCTATAAAAGGTCTGCTTTTGGGGGGGTCTTTTTGGTCATTCGGATCGTTATCTCCTAATCCTCTACTGTACTTTACTATCCAGATGATTTAGGATTACTTTTTACCAATTAACAAGAACGAGTTCACAAGCGCAATTAACATTGACACTACTTTTTTCACCTAATGCTGTCAGGACACCAGGCCAATGTGAACTAAAAGTTCTTATAGTTTGACTTTAACAAACAACTGTTACTTTTAAACAGTACAAGTACAAAATCAATTAAGTCTAAAAAATGTTATTACATCCCATCATTACCTTCATCCCAACGATAATATTATCCCATCCATCAGACATGGGAGCGTGGTGGAATGCTGTAACAGGGGCACCAACAAAACTTGGATCTGAACATATATAATTGATTTATAAAAAATTTAACTTTGAAAATTTTGATGAAAAGAATATTTAGTTTGAATTCAGAAAGCTAATAAGACCACCAACGTGGAATTACATGATAACGTGAATATGTTGAAATAATGAGCATTTTTATAAACTATCCCGAAACTCTTAAATACTACGCCTAAGAATAATTCAATCTTGGCAAATTACATATTGTACGAGAATTAGCTAAATATACATTATAAACATTATAATTGACAGATTAAACATCCTGGAACGTCATAAGACTGCTGCTTGCTATCTGTCTTAAAGAACTGATGATTTAATCAAGGTTGAAGCGTCGAGGGGCAAAGAAACGGCTAAGCGCTGGAGTCACAGGTTTAAGATTTAAAAGTTTTACCCTGTCATTATTATTATTATTAACGTAAAACCCTGCATTCGCTTCTAGCCGCCGAAACGTATCAATGGGCACAGCGGTCCACGGTTCCCTAGGGAGAAGACTTGCAACAGGCGAGTTGCCCGAGACAGTTCCATTTTTTGAAACTCTCTAAAACACTTGAATGATAAATCAGCAGATGCTGGACAGTATCTCTACCTGCTAGTTGAGTGTCCCATGAATACGAGGTACTAAGATCATGAGATGACCGACTAGCTGGTGGAATAAACTCCTCTTGAAGGTATTGTCTAAAAAAGAAAAGCTTTTATTTGAAAAAGATACTTATTGTTTTAAAGAAGTTCAATTTTGGTCATAAAAGAAACACCCCCCCCCCCTCCCACACCCACCACAGTTTCATTCCTTTAAGAATTCTATCAGAAGATGAAAGCTGAAAGGACCCCGATAGACCTTTAGATTGTAAAGAGAACCAGTCCTGTACCTCTCTCTAGTAGTTGACTGTTTACCTATCGGGTGGAGTATCTCGGGACTCTGGTGTTGGAGTTGTAGTAGGAGTAGAACAAGGAGTTGTTGAACTTACACTGGGAGTATATCCCTACAAAATGGTCATTAAACAATCTATCCAAAACAAATATTTTTAACAAGAAAGCTTAAAGCACGAAGTAGTTATCTATACAGCTAATAAATTTAAAAACACTATTACCAATATAAAGGTAAATAATGTCTTGTCAATACATTTTTCATCTACTATTTCCTTAACACAATTACTCCAGCCAATTAAAATGTATCTGTCTATCAAAATGTATACTTTGATCGTCTGTCTGTAAATAAAAACAAAACGGCTGAACAATCGGGTCCAGATTTTGAGCGTCAAAATTGAAAAATTTAGCAGTAAAAATGTCGACAACTAATATTTTGAAATAAATTTATCCAGACTCCCAGAAGATATTTTTTTTAATAATAACAACAAATTGAGGCGCAACAGTAAAAAGGTATAGTTGTAAATAAAAATGGGGACACAAAGCGTCCTAAAGCTTATTATATAATGTATCACTTGCATCATATAAATTGTATCCAATGACCTTAAACATAGTATTCCAGAATTTAGATAGAAACATTACTTTACAAAAAAAAAACTTCCAGATTGATCAATTTATATCTAATTTTTAAAATATATCCCTATTCTTACCTTTCCATCCTCCTCCCCCTCATGCCTGGGAGATAAGTCCATTTTATCTGAAAATTATAATTTTATCACAGACTTTATTCTAAATATTGAACAGAACAACATTTTAAATCTTGTTAACTACAATACGTGACCTAACTGATCAGAGAAAAAAAAAACGCTCTTGGGCACTGGAAATGGTTTTGAATTTTCTTGTGAAATAGACCTTCGAGTTTTTCTGATAATCTCCTTGCTAAAGAGGCTCAATGAGAATCTCTAGCTCCTACAAAGGTAAACTCAGTCTAATCTCCTTGCTATAGAAACTCCATGAAAATCTCCAGCTCCTCCAAGGGTAACCTCGGTCTAATCTCCTTTCTATAGAGGCTCCAGGAGAACCTCAAGCTCCTGCAAGGGTAACCTCAGCCTAATCTCTTTCTCCACCATGAGCTCGTTGATGTGCTCCAGACTGCCAGAAATATATTCAAACTAAATCAAAACAAATTACAATGAAAATTTAATTATAATTTTACAGTGTCCGAGAAATTCTCTTCAAACGATGCATTCTCTGGATCAGGGGTGTATATTTTCCTTAAACATAATTACCCCCCCCCCTTCTTTGAAAAAATAAATTTTCCCCCAGAAGTTAGGAATGTTTATGGTTTTATTCTCTAAATTGGGGAAAAAAGAGTTTTCGGGAAAACGTACAAGTTTTTCAAAAAAATAATGAATAATTTTTTTAAATGCTCAGGATCTAAAATCATGATTTTAGTGAAAAATGAATAAACTCTTTTACCTTCACCTCCTCCTCTTCCCCCTCTCCGTCACTTTGAAGAACCGGTTTCTTCTTAGTTGTGCTGAGTTCATTAATCCTGGACAGGTACAGCGCAGTATCCAGGTACAGAGCCTGCATTTTCGATCAATTAGTAATTATGTAAACAAATCAATCAATCAACCATTGAATAATTAATAATTTATCAATCATTAAATATCAATCAATTTACCATTGAAATTCGAATCAATCGTCCAATTAACAATCAATTAATAAATGATAAATCTAATTTAGCTTAAATATATTTATTTATATGTTTATATTTTATAAATAGCTATAACCATTAGATAATCATTAATCATTCAGTTAACTAATAGAAAATTAGTCAATTAACTAACCGATGGAAAATAAATCAATTAATTAACCATTAAATAAATAATTCAACCAGCAAAATTAATTATGTATGAAAGCAAGCAGCAAATCAATTTTATATAAGAATTATTTAAACAATTAATAAATAAATTAACCGATAAATAAATACATTGCTTAGATGATTACATAATTAACATCTTGGAATACCTCTAAAATATGGAATAATTTGTCAAAATAAAAATAATTCATCGAAATTTTTGTCGATTTTTAGATTACTTAACTGATTTTGGCGCCTAGTTCGTCTATATATAAATTTGGCTTGTCTGTTTGTTTGTTTGTATCCAATAAACGTCAAAACGGCTGAACCGATCGGGCCCAAATTTTATGTGGGACATCACGTGACCACAGGGAAGGTTTATGAGTGATAAAATTTTTAAAAAATGTGTTTTATAGGTTTTTAATTTCGTAAAAAAATTCAAATTCTTGAAAATCCGCGATTTTTTTATTAAAAATCCGCCAAAATTTTTTCTTCTTTGTTTTAAAATGTAAACAAAAAGAACATGTTCACAATTTAGATAGAATATGGGCGCGAAGCGCCCTAAAAGCCTAGTGACTCAAAGTTTGAAAGCTTAAAATAAGTTACCTTGCACCATGGAACATCTTGGATTGCCCTGTAGAGCATTATTTTTATATTTTCACAGCCAACCTTACCCTCCTTCCTAAACATTCATCTATTTTAGAGAAAAGAGAAGAATATTGAGATTCAAAACATATTTCTGTTGTAATACATAGCGTTCTAAGCTTGAAAAATCAAATGACGATAAGTAGGAAATGGGATGGTTAACTGTAAACTATAACATAGAAGTAGAATTTTATGAAAATGCCTGAACTACAATTTTTTCCTTCAAATTTCCGGATTTTAACCAGATTCAGGATGCCTCCAATTAAATGCTAGTAAACCAGAGGTTACATCTTCTGGTTGCGGTAGCAGCTCTCACTCACATTAACTGAGCTCGATATCTATAACGTTATAAATTGGAAGAGTTTAGGAGCTAATATATAAAGGTTTCAAAGAAAGGGGCGGCTGTGCCCCAGGGTATGGGAGGGATAGATTGAGCGCGTTATAAATACATTAAAAATACAAGAGTTTTGAGCCCGGAGCCCAATAACAAAATGAGCAAAGGTTAAAACTGAAGAGTTAAACCTTAATCGTTTCTTTTATAAATCAGAGCTAAAGAAATTGACCAATCACGCACCTCTGCCCCTTTAGTAAAAGTAAATTCAACCTATATGAAGCATAAAGTCTGACCGCGTCAACCTTCGGCTTTTCCTGTCCATAGAGCTAGGTACAGTACAAACTGGGACCGCAAAAGGTTGACCCGTCTCGGAAATTCAAATGTACTACGGCTGCCCGTGCAATAACAGATAAAGAAAAGTTTTACCTTTATAGGTGTATGGCTATGGCTAAAATAAACTTTCGAGATATTCTGTTATCTGGATTCTAGAGGCAACTAACCTTAAACTCTCTATACTGGTGCACCAGAGTAGTAATCTCCATATGAGAGGTGAATGCTTAAGAAACGGTTTAGCAACACAGCGTTCTAGTAGGTTAGACAGCTTATACAAGAAACAGTAACCTTAACAAATAATTATCCAAAAATAAGATGGTGAAAATCAGAAAAAAAAACACTATTCCGACTTGCTTCGATGATGCTCAATGTACACACAAGGAATGGGCGACAGAAAATCAAATGACAAAAAACCGAACCCCATTAACAAATGATTTAAGTTTCAAAATATAAATATAAGATAATCAGTAATCACCTAGGGCAGGGATTTGCTGTGGATTCAGGGGATCCAGTACACTCAAAAACTTAAGCAACAAACCATTAAGTTTCTGCACAAAATTTGTTTCCAACTTTGCTGATAAGGATATCTCCATCCTTTATATAATCCATCCTTCATCTAATCCATTCATTATCTAACCCATTCGTTATCTAACTAATCCATTCGTTATCTAACTAAAAAATTCATTATCTAACTCATTCGTTAACTAACTAATCCATTCATTATTTAACTAATCCATCCTTTATCTAACTAATCAATTCATTATCTAACCCATTCGTTATCTAACTAATGCATTCATTATATAACCCATTTGCTATTCATATCTTATCTGAAAATGGACTGAAGGTTAAGGGATTCAAGTCTTGATTTGATTTGATATGTTTCTATTGGGGCTATATGAACAGACCAAAACCATGGCTATATATGGTCGTGAGTAGGACAAAAGGCTTTGATTTGATTTGCTTTGATTTGCTTTGATTTGCTTTGCTTTGCTTTGCTTTGCTTTGCTTTGCTTTGCTTTGCTTTGCTTTGCTTTGCTTTGCTTTGCTTTGCTTTGCTTTGCTTTGCTTTGCTTTGCTTTGCTTTGCTTTGCTTTGCTTTGCTTTGCTTTGCTTTGCTTTGCTTTGCTTTGCTTTGCTTTGCTTTGCTTTGCTTTGCTTTGCTTTGCTTTGCTTTGCTTTGCTTTGCTTTGCTTTGCTTTGCTTTGCTTTGCTTTGCTTTGCTTTGCTTTGCTTTGCTTTGCTTTGCTTTGCTTTGCTTTGCTTTGCTTTGCTTTGCTTTGCTTTGCTTTGCTTTGCTTTGATTTGATTTGATTTGATTTGATTTGATTTGATTTGATTTGATTTGATTTGATTTGATTTGATTTGATTTGATTTGATTTGATTTGATTAGATTTGATTTGATTTGATTCAATGGAAATCAGGATGAAGCACACACTGCATTACAATATTGCCAAGTATGGTTTGTCCTGCCTTAGATAAACTTATTTCACAGGCTTCCTCTATCAGAGCAAGGTTAGTCTTCTTAGTATCCTGAACAATCCCTTTCATAGTACAGTAGACAGTATATATATATGAGTGCTTTTAAAATATAAAAAAATAACACATGAACTTCATAATTGTTAAAGATTTTAATAGTCTTATTCCAAAGAAAATGTTCTTAAGTTGAATACTACTATAAAGAGACTGTTCCTGAATAGAGCTGAGAATCTCCTGCCAAATATTGTTTACTATACTAGTAGAATCCTAAACAGAAAAAAAAATAAAAAAAGATGATTAATAAGTCCTTTTTAAAGTTTAAGATGTAAACTATAAAAAGGTCGATATTTTCACATAATTTAAATTGAAATATTACAATCAGATAAAAGACTGACCTGCACTAAACCAATATTACAATCAGATAAAAGACTGACCTGCACTAAACCAATATTACAATCAGATAAAAGACTGACCTGCACTAAACCAATATTGCAATCAGATAAAAGACTGACCTGCACTAAAACTAGTTTGTTCTGAAAATATCTACTCCTCGAATGCCGAGATATACAGTAGAGATAAAAGTTCCTAAAAGCCAATCAATAAAAATATTATCTAAGATCAAGGCTTGCAGGAAATATATCAAAATAATAAAAATACCAAATATTCAAACATTTTTGTTGCAGCTTTCCTGAGTCTTTGCTTTTCCAGGACGTCAAAGACCGAGTCGAACCACAGCATGTCCAGACAGATCTTGTCGAGGCTTTCGACCAGGAAGCTTTGGGTCAGCGCAAGCTGGTCAAATCTACCCGGTCGATCATTAGACTTTATCTGATCCCGTACACTTGCCACCATACTCACAGCAGTCTGTAGGGAAAATCTTTGTCAAATTGTAAATGATTTTTTCAATGATAAAATGTCAATTTACTTATCAATGTTCATTTATCAATTCAATGATAAATGATCAATTCAATTATCAATCGATGATAAAGGATCAATTCAATTATCAATTTTATGGTAAGTTCAATTATCAATGATCAATTCAATGCACATTGATCAATTCAATGATTACCGATCAATTCAATGATCAATGATCAATTCAATGATCAATGATCAATTCAATGATCAATGATCAATTCAATGATTAATGATCAATTTAATGACTAATTCAATGCTCAATTTAATGACTAATTCAATGATCAATTAAATGATCAATGCTCAATTCAATGATCAATTTAATGATTAATGATCAATTTAATGATCAATGATCAATTTAATGATCATGATCAATTCAATGATAAATGATCAATTTAATGATCACTGATCAATTAAATGATCACTGACCAATTTAATGATCGATGATAAATTCAATGATCAATCAAATTATCAATATTCAATTCAATTATGAAATAGCATTTCGCTGATAAGTGCTTAATTCAATGAACAATGATCAATTAAATGATCAATTAAATGATAAATTCAATGATCAATGATCAATTAAATGATAAATTCAATGATCAATGATCAATTAAATGATAAATTCAATGATCAATGATTAGTTCAAAGGTAAATGATCAATTAAATGATATATTCAATAGTCAATGATCAATTAAATGATAAATGATAAATTCAAAGATAAATGATCAATTCAAAATTTAAAACCAAACAAAAACGTATCCCCTTAACTACAGAAGAAAAAAAACATTTTTGGTCAATTTGATAGGTAATGTTCAAATATCAATGTATTAATCAATGATAAATTGAATTATTAATTAATAATCAAATTAATGATCAATTTAATAATCAATTCAATGACCACTGATCAATGCCTCGTACCTGTGTACCCGCTGAGAATTTGGTTAACCAAGCATGGAAAAATATAACATCACAGATCGAATGTCTGAAATAAAATCCCCTTATTGGTTTCGTTTATTTTTATTTCTACTCCTAACATCAAATCAAATTCCCTAAAATTCAAAGTAAAGTGAATTTAATTTACTAAATCAAAAATGAAATAAAGTCTAGCAGCGTGTGATAGACATTTACGAGTCATATGTTCTTTTTTAATGTGTTGTCTTTAAATACTTTTGATCCAAACAAAGAAATAACCTGACAAAAGGTGCCATCTGGAATACCCTGCTACAGGATATATCCTGGATATCCTCCTGTATCCAGTCCTGGAAACTACGCTGAGCTCCTGCAATTAGAATCAGTGCTTAGGACCGGATCCGTTGGATCCGCAAGATTTTGGCTTCCTGGATCCGGATCCTCAAAAATATTCGGATCCACGGATCCGGATCAAAGGGGTAAAATATTAACCAAAAACTGCAAAAACAACTTTTTTACTCCTAAAACCCAACTTAGAACTTTTGAAAAAAAGAGATTATAAATATTTCCTCATTTCTGAATGGTTCATCAAGTTTTAGAATTTAATGAAGCAAAAAAAATAAATCAAAAAATTTGAAAATTATTTTTTGTTAAAAATTCAGTAAACCAAGAAATGACCTGGATCTGGATCCGAATACATTTTTTTCAATGCGGATCCAGGATCCGGATCCGCATCAAATTTAAATGGATCCTAAGCAAATTAGAAATAATACATATTGTTCACACTGTATAGGTGGCACGGAGCTCCTGTATTTTCATGTTACCTTCTAGAAGAGATAAAATAACATCGTTTTTCTCCGGAGAATAAGGAGAATATTTCTTTCCACATCCGATATGAACTGAACAAATCAAATAGATTATCAAGTACAATAGGTGGCAACAGAGAAATAAACCAATTATACACCACGTCACAAATGTCAAATATAACAAAGAAAACGAAATTTTCTCAAATTACCTGATATGTTTTCAAAGATTAAATTAATAAAAAAGAGTAAAAACAAAAAATAAAGAACACATAAAATTGCACTTATTTTACTATAAGATAATCACTTTATTCTAAAAGTCAGAGAGGATACATTTACGCCATTTAAATACAAAACATGATCTAGGAGGAAAAATTCACGCAAATAAGAATACTTTGTTCTAGCTACTTAAGTAGGAAATATTTTACCTAGAACCCATTGCATACGATTTCTATGAATTGAGTCGCTAATGGTATTGTCTGGATGCTCTTTTCTATCGTTCTGAAAATTCAATCAATCAATCAATCAATTTATCAATCATTTCATTTCCCATCCCATCAATCTAATAATTAAATGATTAATCAAAAAAATTAATATATAATTCTTTGCCTGCAGTTTTATCATCTCTCTGAGTTCCATTTCTACTGAAGCTCTACATTTTTTCAAAACATCAATTAAAAAGAAAATCCGAAAGCAGTAGAAGTTCTAGTAGTTAAAAATTTTAACGTAAAATTCATAGATTTGTACAAAAAATGTAAATAGACGTAGAATTTAAAATTGAATTGTTTTATTTCCTGTAGAGAAGAGTAGCCGACAGAAAACCTTCTTCTGTGTTTAACTTCAGGAAATTAGAGTTGGAGGCTCGCATAGCAGTTTCTAAAAAGACGTTATATAATAATATACACAATTATTATTATTATACAGGAATGAGAAAAAAATAAAAACTTAAATAAAACCAGGGAGAATTGAAGCAATCGAATTTTGAATTTTGGGGTAAAATTATCAAAAAACAATTTACCATTCGGTTAAAGACCAATTTTTCATTTCGCCCCTTTCTCCCAAAATAAAGCGAAGGGAGGGTTATTCTAAAGAAAACATACCCCTAACACTGACAAATACCGTCTTCTACAAATCTATAAAATAAATCAAGGCATTCGTATGTTCCCTATAGCCGTCCAAACGGCTGGACCGAATGAGCTGAACTTATTTGCGGACACTCATGGGTAGCCTGGGGGTGATAAAGGATAAAAAATTCGAACTTTTTTTCAATTTTTTTTTTCATTTCAATTTTTTTTTCCTCTGGCAACACCAGGCCTTTCAGCAAGTATTTTTTAAATAACGTTTTATATAAAGGGACTGTGACCCTCCGTGTAAATATGGCAATACCCGATTTACCCTTTAAACCTTACTCTGATAAAAATGTGGAAGATACAATCGTTTTTTTTATGACACAAAAAGTGTTTATTTCTGTGAGTTTCTACATTGCTTCTTTTAAGCAAGAAATGCGCAAGTCATTCTCACAGAGAAATTGCAAATGAAAATGACGAGTTCAGAGAAACAAAAACATTAATATCTAATTCATAATTGATCAAGACAAAGCTTTTAAGGGTATCATTGTAAATCGGACATTGTCATCTTTGTATGGAGGATCCATTGAAATTACGCTTACAGTCCCTTTATCGATTTCTAAGGAGATAATTAGTAATAACCCAGTATAGGTTGAGCTACTGCATATCCCTCCATCTCGTACTCCAGCTCCGCAAACTTCACCACCAGGTCCAGGTTGTTCCTGTCCTCCTTCAACAAGCACCTAAACAGTATATCATTAATCAATCAATCTGAAATAAAAAATACAAATAAATTGATCGAAAAGAAAATTATTAATATCATAAATCAATTTTTAAAATCTCAGTGTTAATCAATAAATCATGCAATCAATCAATTAGTCAATCAATCAATCAATCAAACTAGCAACCAACAAAATCATTCAAAATTTCGAAACAAAATATATATGTCAATCAAATAAGTGATCTCAGTGCACCATCCATACCATCAATCAATTAAATATATCTTTAAAAAAAGTTTATAAATAACTAAGTCATAAGAACCAAATAAAGCACTCCATTATTATCTTTATGCATTTATCGGTCTAGAAAGCTGTGCTACAATAGTTTTTAAAAATCATTTAAAACGATATTTACCGCACTAGTTTTTTCAAATCCTTCCTGAGCTCTTTAGCTGCTGGTCCCTGGTAAAAGAATACGTTTAGCTTTAAGTCACAAAGATTATTAATATCCAAAAAAAATTTATCTTGTGGTCGTTCATTTATCTGTGCATAGGGGTCGCGTAAAGGTGTTGACTCTATTTGAAACGTAAGCTAGGGACTGACCGTTCAGTGAGACAAAAAAATGGCGGGGAAAAAATTACCTTGTTCTGGCGGATTATCTCAGCTTCGTACTCTAACCAGACCAACATAATGTTGGTACGGAATGGTTCCTGAACAAAATATACTTCAAACTTTTGACAGATCCTAGATTAAAAAAGAATTATTTTTAAAAGTTTTTTTTACCTGAAAACGGGTGTAACACTGTGCAAACAGATTATGGATGAATATTGCTAAAGATTCGTTGTTCTTTATTGTTGGTAGAGTATCTTGCAGCATCTTAAAAATTAAATATTTTAAATAATACAAAAAGGAATATAATTTAGTTTTTCTGCTTATCATATTAAAATGTGTTTTACAATCTCACAGCCTCAAACCCCACCTTGATTCCGTTGTAGAGGTTCTGGTTGTACATCTTGTCTGTGTTGTAGTATGCCTCCATGGGGGTTGATCTGGTAAGGTTGGAGAACTCCTTGTCCCTCCACTCTACACCCAGCAGGGTAAGCACAGATACAAACAGACGAAACTTTGTCTCCTTCCTACATCATACAGATAACTTTAGAGTAATAAATATCTACAACTGCTTTACAGTGAAGTTATGAGGATTTAACTTTACCAAGGGTTCTCAGGAACAAGGCAAAATTGGTCAAGTTAAGTAAAATTTCGAATTTCCCGAAAAAGAAGCAGTACATAATTTTATCGTCTATTGAGATAAAAATAAACGATTATTTTCATGAAAACTTGGCAGAGCAGGTGGTTATGTTAATTCCCCAGTAGCTTAATCTTCTAGTAGCTTCTGTTGTTAAGTCGGTAATGATGGCCAAAAGGTGGTAAAATGCTTTATCTCGTGCAGATTTTTAAAAAATTTCTTTGAAGTCCTAATATACAAAAATTGCCAATTATCTCTAACCTGGAAAAATCTACAAGGAACCCGCAGACAAATTCAAACTCGACGAACCTCTCCTTGTCCTCAGGGAGCTCATCCCCGTCCTTCCATGGACTCCATTGTCTTACTTCACGACCCAGCTCCAGGTCCAACCAAGTTTCCCCGAAAGATCTGAGGAAAAAGGATTACAAAAACGTCATTTTCTAAAAAAAATATTTGAGCCTGAAACATTACATTCGCAGAGGCTTTTCGAAAAGCATCAGCAAATATCAGTATCAGTGTCCCAATTTAATGAATTTGAGCCACGACTTAAATCTGCCAAAACCTGGTTTCAATTGAGTGCCGTCTTAAATCTTGAAAATTTTAATACATTTTTAAGTGGAACCAACCATATTTGAGCAAATTTAAGCCGCGGCTCGAATTCTTTAAAGTCGGGCTCAGTATGCATAATTTCAAGTGACCCACCATGCAAAGAGAGCAATGGCCGATTCCCAGCAATACCCTTAAAAGCTTTGTCTGATTGCATGAAATAGATATCAATCTCTGCAATTTTTTCCTTAACTATTCATTTTTAACTGTTGTATCTCTACACAGTTACTTGCGCATTTCTACTGCAGGAAAACATAAAGGAATAAAGGAATTAAACACTGTTAAACCCAGAAAAAACTACAATATCTACCGCAGTATTGCTGCGAATCGGACATTGCCATCTATGCATGGAGGGTCACTTGAAATTACTTTTTTTGGACCTCACTAGTCTCCTGGAGTTTGTAATAACTCTTGTAATAATAGAGATAAATGGTGCTAACTTTGCACTTATATTCTTTTAATCCATAAGGGGCATAAAAAAATTTCAAATTTTTTTTTTCTTGATCAGGGGCGTAGAAAGGGGGGTATTTGGCCCAAAACAGGTATTTATATATATAAATATTTTTTTGCCGATGTATCATTATTGTTTTCAAGATTTTAGGTCTGATAGGTGCAAAGTTAGCACCATTTATCTCTATTATTACAAGAGTTATTACAAACTCCAGGAGACTAGTGAGGTCCTTTTATACATGTCCAGTTTTTTATTAAATGCCCTTTGTATCAGGATCCGGGTAGCCGATCATGGGCAGAAAATCATACCGCAACCTTTGAATTAATCATAAAAAAGAAAAAAATTGTTACCTGTCCTTGGCTTCAGCAATAATGTCGTCTTCCCAGTCTTCGTCCTCTTTTAAATTCTATTTTACAAAATGAAAAATTGAAATCCAAGTCTCTTTCATAATTTGCTTTTATTAAAAAATAGTTTTTGAAATTGTCAAATTCTTTAAACTTAGAATATATGCCTCTGTAAAATAATTAAGTGAAACACAGCGATTTTTTTCTCATCCATCAAAGTACAGCAGAACTAACCTTTTCTTCCATCTGATTCATTCTGTTTAGTTCAACCCCCCAACCCTGGGCGCCATCTTCTCCGACACGTGGACATCCACGCTCCCAAACCGGTTCTAGCAGAGACACTGCGTCATCAAAGTCGCTTCCGCCGGGACTAGAAAACTCGGGAGAGAAAAGGTTGAACTCAAGCAAAGCCTGAGAGCAGAAAACGTAATTCATGAATAATAATGATTTTAATCTTCAGAGGTTAAAGATGCATTCACTGGAGAGTTATAAAAAGTAATTTTCATCAAAACCTCATGATCTCAAAAAAACATCTGCTTTAAAAAACAAATGTGAAAAAGAGAAATTTATTATCATTATCGGCTTTAAACAAGAATTTATGAATTAAGATTGTGCCTGACAAATAGCTATTCCCTTCTCGACATAACCACTCTGAAAGAAATAAAGAGCACTATTATATTATATCATCAAGTCTGCATTTAAAACCATAAAACCAAATTCATGATTTAAGTTTTATGAATTTGACCTTGAATTTTATGGAATATTAGTCTTAATATTTAATATGAAGAAATTCAATTTTTTCTTTAATTTCACAAACCCATCAAAAAGAAAGACACGAAACTTGGGGCTTTAAATTTTGTTTAAAATCCCCCCCCCCCCCCTCTATTCTATACCTGTATTAGTAAGCTGACCAGCTGGCAAAGAATATCCAATATACCGTGCTCCAGTTCGAACAGACGGGTTAGTTCACCATGTTCAGCAAAGTATCTAAAAAAAGAAAAAATCTTAAGAATCTTATATTAATAAGAAAGGCCCCCCCCCCAAAAAAAAAGATCTTTTATTATATAAATCATCAAGTTTTATAATAGTAATGTCTTCTTCATTTTTATGTTAAAATTTTAACATCAAACTATAGCCCATCAATCAATATGATATAAATAGTACCTTTGCTGCTCTCTCAGTTTGAATATTGCAGTTTTGTACGCTTTTATCGTCTCCCCTACAGAAAACCTATAATAACGTCTTGTCAAATCAGAAGAAAGCAAAATTATTTACTTCTATGTTAGGAAAAATTTCGGATGTCTATCGCGATTTTCCAATCTTTCCTTCCTATAATAATTTTGTGTTCTCATGCCTCAAAACCTCTTAAAATTATGACAAATCGCCTCCCCCTTCCCCGTCTGATGAAAATATTCATACTCTAAAATGTGACCTGATATAAAATGTTTGAACAAAGAGAAGATAACGCTTCCATAAATCAATATTGTCCGGATACACAAATATTAATTCCTTCCATTGCTGATCCAGGGTCTTGGAGTCCAATAGGTCCTAGGGAAAAGTTAATGTAATTTTTTTATTTCAACTAAGTAGAGTTGCACCAAATCTATTATGAATAAGAATGCTTTTTATTTCAAAAACAGTCTTTAGAATAACACTTTTATCTTTTGGGAGATCGAAATCCTTTATAAGGAGTTATTGGAATTATGTCTTTCCTCGCCAACTATTGGACCACAACATTCCTTTTAAGCTTTTTTTTTCTCTCTTGTTGGGGAAAATAAGCGATTTTTTGGGTATTTTTAAAAATAAGTGAAGATCCTGCCTTTTAAAGTTCACTTTTTCATTGTTTTACACCAATCTTTGGAAAAAAAATCTTGAAAATCCACTAACCCTTGAAAGTTCCAGTCGTTTGACCGCCAACACAATAGATCTTGAATTCTTCTGTATTGCTGTTCTACAGATTGCCAGCTTACGCTCTGTTACAGCCTGAACACAGACCAATTATGTACTGCAGAGTTTTTGGGGTAATGTAAACAAACTAAAAAAATTTTAATAAAAAATCAATCATATATAAAGTTTTCAAACAGAAAAAAACGAGACTGGATATAATTAACTTTTGGTAAACGTTACATTAATCATTTTTAAGTTCCAGAGATTATCATCACAGTAACTAGAGAATAGGTAAAGGTATACATTTGGAACAGCTGTATTTAAATCACTGCACTACTGTTGACATTTCAACTTTTAGTCAGACAAAATATTCGAAAATGGTGAAAATTTGCAACAAAAATTTTTATATGTTCTTTTGATCTTATTTATTACTGTCCTATTTAAGTTCTCTAATTTCAACCAGAGACTGTGTCACAAAAACACCAATGACAGCTTTTTTCAAAATCTCAGTGTGAAATATACAATATACTTGATTTATTCTTAATTTCTCCTACCTTGGCTCTAAGCACTTCACCTCTCCTCTTCTTTACAGTTTTATTCACAAGATCATCATCAAGATCAAAGACAGACTCTTTTAAAATCTCATCCTGAGTTTAACAGAATCAATCAATCAATTCTAATAGTAGGAACGCCAAGTACTTACCACATCTCAAAACCTAAGAACCAAGAATGAAAAATCTTAGCTTTTGCACTTAATTTGATTTGGTTTCTAATTATTTACTACTACTTTAGAGGGAAAATAAGGGAAGTTTACGTTTCCAAGGGTTCCCGAGACCAATTTTGCCTTCGAAACATCCAGACCGCAGCAAGTGATATGTTTTGTAGGCAAATAGTAAACAGTTTTATTTTACGAAAAAGCAGTTGTAAACAATTCTATTGTCTTTAGAGAATAAAATGCGCGAATTGTATACTAAAATTTCAAAGAGCGGTGGTTATCCTACTAAATTGTCCCATTTGACGTAAAGTAACCTAACGTCCCACTTTTGGGGAATCATGGGTCGTAAATGGCGAATGGCGATGAAAATATAAAAAAAAATTTAAGACCCATCACAAATGTTCCATGGTAGATTTATAAAACACTCATCCTTTGGCTCGGGAATTGTTTTTAATCTATAAGCTAACCAACTAGCCCGAAGTATAGGGTAACAATTTTCTAAAAATAAATAAAGTCCATGATAACGAAATTTCAAATTTAACAACTTTAAGAGGGGGGGGGGGATTCCTACCCTTTGTCCCTGAATAAAATAAACAACTCCTAACCTGGAAATCGATGAACTCGATCCAAAGGTTAACATTGGTCGGAGTATCCCTGAGTTTAGAGTTAAACTCCAACCTACGTTGTCGAATCTTAACAAAAATATAATTATAATACAGGGGTATATATTCTCTTGAAAAATTACCACCCAGCCTCTTCCAAAAAGATGAAAGGTATGTTGAAATTTAATTATTGCCGAACCAATGAAAATCAAAGAATTTTTGGTTATACATATATTTTTAACTGTCGGTTTAACAATTTTTAAAAAAAATTTTAAATTTGAAAAAAGTTTTAAAAAAAGATAATTACAAACTTGTACAATATTATTTTTATAGTACAACAGTAATCCAATTTTCCACACTTTGGAATTCTTGGGTCCCAGGGACCCTCCACCTGAGGGGGGGGAAGGGGGAAGGGGATCCCGGCACCCTCCACCTGAGGGAAGGGGGGGGGGGTGAAGGAAGGGGATCCCAGGACCACAAAAGCCCAAAGTGGGGAACAACACCCCATCATTTATTTTTTTATATTTTCAAAATAATTTGTTTTAGAAATAGTCTGTACATTCTTCTCATCTATTTCTTGGGTCAGATTTCTGCTAATCTCTGCTTCTTTTTTAATTCTGTCTGATATTTCTGGTTTGTTGCAAGGAACTTTAGCACATTATATGTTTCATTCAATATCTCAGCTGCTGACACTGAACCCATGAACATTAATAATAATGAAATAATAATCCTTGCAAGTTTTCTGGAATTTGCTATCTCAGCTGGTTTGTAGATTGTTCAATGTTGATGAAAATTTGAAGGACCCAATCTCAACTTATAAATAATGACAAATGTGATAAAAGGGAGTAGATTATCAACATTTGGAGTCTTGAAACTGATGTGTAAGAAGATCTTGGGCAGTACAGTAAATTATACTTGTCTTGATGCTTCTCCACATTATGAAGATCTGTGGTTGATGGAAATTAACATGTTTCCCATGGTTGTAGGTTTACTTAAAATCTGGCTAACCAGGCATATTTCTATGGAGTGAAAGTCGACCTTTGCCATCTAACAGGCCTAGACCCAGAGAGGTAAAAAACCTCTGTTCTCCAGGGTAATACAGGCTGTATTACAGCATTGACAGATGAATGCAGGCATTCTTTGTTGATTATCGTGTGTTTCTCATCAATGTCAGTTTCTTATGTGCAGTGCTTAGGATCCATTTAATTTTGAAGCGCACTGAAAAAATTAGATCCAGATCCGGATCCAAATCAGGATCCAGATCCAGGTTATTTCCATAAAATTTACTGATTTTTTTTCACTTATTTTTATGCTAAAACTTGATGAATCATTCAGAAATCAGGAAATTTTTATAATCTCTCTTTTTTTCAATTCTTTAAATTTCGGGTTTTGAGAGTAAATTTTTTTGCAGTTTTTTGTTGATATTTTGCCCCTTGAATCCAGATCCGTGGATCAGCATATTTTTGCGGATCCGATCCGGATCCAGGAAGCCAACATCTTGCGGATCCAATGGATCCGGATCCTAAGCAATGCTTTTGTGTTTACGTTTAACTTGGATTTTCCATTTTGCTCTGTCTCCCTGTGCTCCTATAGTTACTGTAAGAAGCGCCTCTGCAAAGACCAAGGTCCTGCTTTGAGGAAAGCTAGAGTTAAACTGTTTTTTTAGTTGTCTAAGAAATTCAAATTTTGACAAATTTAGGCATTGCTGGTATCTATCCAAGTGTTTTTAGACACCCTGTATAATATACATAGTTGAAATAAAACACCCATGTGCTAAAATATATTAATACGTAAGATTTCAGAAGTGCATTTTTTTTAAAAACTAACACCTTCTACCCACTAGGAGACTTTTCTGTGCAAAATATGAACTGAGAAATTAATACAAAATAATAAAAAATAGCTATACTACAGTGGTAGGCGATTATATAAATACAACGAAGACGACATTCTATTTCAATTCTGATTCATATAAAGCTGTTAAGCAGCATGGATACACATAAACATAAAAGTCAAGAGAAGCTGTCAATTAAGAAAGATGATTACTTGTAAACTTGTAATTCGAAAAGAGCTTGTTAACAATTAAAACGTAAAAAAGTAGTCTCCATTGTTTTGATATAATCGCTTACCCCTGTATGAAAATGTGTATTAAAATAACATCTTGACTAAAACATAGTAGCAATTATTACTATTAATCAAAAAAAAATTTTTGACCTGAATATATATAATGTTAATAATAATAATCCCCAACCAGTTTTGTAAAAGATGATTATGAATGGGAAAAAACTGTATATTGAAGTGATTTATTCACATTAATATGTGTTGTGTAATGTGTATATACCTTCTTGAAAACGGTCTCAATTAATCCAAGAAAGAATATATATGCTAAAATTTTCAACAAACAAATCTAATTAAGGAAAAAGAATTTTTTTCTAAAGGAAAATGTCATTTTTAACTCGCTATCCAAGCGTTTCAAAATTAGTACACTACCCCTTTCCCCCTCCGTACCTCCCCCAGTATTTACCTGGGGGTTTTCGAACTCCTCCAAGGTCTTGTCCACATCAGGGGTTAAACCTCCTACCCCTGAATACAGAACAAAACTATCTATACATATATATTATATATTTGGTTTTTCTGTTTGTGATTGTTGGGTTGCTTGTATTAAATAAGAGTAAAAACGGCTGAACTGATCGGGCCCAATTTTTTGGATTAACCTAGAGTAGGTAAATAGACGGCCAAAACTGATAAAAATTTGCTGGGAGCCAATAATTGTATAAAACCAAAATATATGACCAAAAAAAAAACGAACAAAACTCGGGATAAAAAAATATACAAATTTTGTTATCTAATTTAATTTATCAGTAAAGATACTTTGGAACCTTATTAGCTTATTCAATTTCTAAAATTGTTAAAAAAGGGACATTTTTACATATCTACATTCTACAATCAATGCTCTCACTCAGATGTGAATAAATTAGGATTGGAATACTGGATTAAAAGAGTTACCCGCTAAATAATTCCTTGTTGCATCATCATATAAAGATTTCATTTTATCATATTCTTCCTCCTCATCCTGTTCCTTTTCCGGCTCATCACTAGTTAAACATTACGTTCAACCATACAAAACAAATTCATAAGGTTTTCTTTTACACCCTCCTGTCAGTCAGCATTAGAAATAAACAAGAATTAAGAGATAAAAAAAGAAAAAGAAGAAAAATATTCAGTATTCACCCTTTATTATTCCATAAACGCCAATTAATGTTTTTTAAGAAAATCCTAATAATTATTTCAAAAATGTACAGGATATCCACAAAAGGATGAGACTGTAATGACGACCTTAAAATCTTAAAATTTTTTGATCTTAGGGTTAAAATAATTCTTTATAATTAATGATTTACTGAAGAATAATATCAGTTTACAGTTGATGGGAATTTTAAAAAATTAAAGAAAAAGACTGACTAAATTCTGTACAGCCTTTTCTGAAGTCTCATCCTTTGAGGGTAACCCTGAATAATAACTTCATTATAATTACATAAGCTTGGGAACCCAGCGCTGCCAAGGATACTAAAATTTACTCCCGCCGTTTACCCACACTTGAACGATTTTACCGGGAAACTAAATTTTTGCTATTTAAGTCAACCCACTCAACTTAGAATATCAAAACCAAGACCTGTCCGATCATAACACTGGAACCCCTGGACCGTGTTGCATCAATTTTTGATTGGGGAACTCGGGAGACCCAAAGGAATGGTCTTAGCTTGGTTTTAAGATTGTAAGTTGAGCAGGTCGACTTTAAAAGCGAAAAATTAGTTTCCCGGTAAAATAGTTCAAGTGCGGGTAAACGGCGGGAGTAACTATGAGAAACATGCGCAGCGCTGGATTCCAAAGTTAGTCTATGTAAACAGAGAGATAGGTGATAGATAAGTAGATAGATAGATGATAGATAAGTAGATAGATAGATAGATAGAGAGATAGATAGATAGATAGATAGATAGATAGATAGATAGATAGATAGGTGATAGATAAATAGATACGAAGAAAGATATGGAGATAGATCAACAGGAAGATTGAAAGATAGATAGATAGATAATTAGATAGATAGATGGTTTATCGAACGAAAAATTCATTATCTTTCGATTTACCCTAGCTTTTAGTGTGTGAACTTTGTCAGCACTTAAGATAACTGTCTTGTCAGCGCTATGTTTATGTCGGGCGTCCACTTAGTGCTGCAGGAGACACAGAAAATGTCCGAACAATGCTATGGTGTGGATGAACAGACAGACAGTCAAACAGAGATTACTACTTTATCTATTGATACTGAAAAGCAAAAATCACTACCGAAATCACAAGAAAAAAATCAATCTGCATTGGTTGATGTAATATTTTCCTAATTCTTATGTATTCTTTATTCAAACTCTCCCTAAAACAAATAAAATAAATAAATAAAAAACACGATTACATTTAAATAATTAGTAATTGAACAATCCCTTTAATTACTTACTGTAATGTTGCATTTGCTGTCTGAATATGCTCTCTGTCTAGGTGCAGCAGGCTTTTAGTCTTGAGAAACTTCTTGATGTAGGTTCTGTTGTGAAACCGTTTGAAGTCCTCCAGGCGTTGAAATCTCTGTGCTTGTTTACTCCAACCCAGCACACCGCGAACCTTCACCTGGAACACGATTTAATGAACACCAAGAGATAGTTGAACCACGTAAAATTCGTTAATTTACTTTTCTTGTGCGGCCGGTTCAAGTTAAAGAAAAGAGTTGCAACAAAAATTACGAAGTTCAACTGCGTCTGATATATATTTAATCTATCACAAAACGTATTAGCCCTAACATATTTTTCTAAGAAAACTTAAGACCAAAATTTGATAGGATACAGGGTGTCCCAAAAAACATGGGAATTCAGTGACGAATTCGATATCGTCTTTTCAAATAATTCTTTGATTTAGTATAGTGATACCTACTGAGAAAGCTGTAATCTGTAAGAGTTTCGTCTGCTATGTTTACATTTTGTTTGTTTATGTTTTGACTGCAACCGGTTGTACTTAGTAAAACAAGAAAATTACAGTATACAAACAGAGTAAACCTGTCCGTATTCACTGTTCATCTTGCGGAGACATTATAGACACATCTTTGTAGTCTTTTACCCTTTTCATTAAATAAACTCTAGCAGACATAATAATATTATGGCTTTTGAAATTAGGTATTACAGTGCTAATTCATAACAAAGACGATATCGAATTCGTCACTGAATTCCCATGTTTTTTGGGACACCCTGTAGTAAAGGATAGTAAATAGTTTTCAGGAAAATGTACAGGGTGTCTCTGAAAAAGGATAGTTAATAGTTTTCAGGAAAATGCACAAGATGTCTCTGAAAAAGGAAAGTAAATAGTTTTCAAGAAAATGTACAAGGTGTCTCTGAAAAAAAGCCTACTAAACATCACTGTTTTGTGTAAAAAAGCGCTTCTAGTAGGTATAATATCCACAAAATAGGAGTCGTCGTCAAATCATTTTACTTTACTCCACAATGCCGTTTTGGCCTTCAAATGTACTCAATGTAGTCGGTCCCATTTTCCAATGATTTTCAAAAAAAATTTAGTCTTTTTCATCTTTCAGTTGAAAAATCCTCAATTCTATCATTGAAAATGTGGAATTTATTCTATTCTGCCGTATAAAACGTAAAGATAAAATTATAATTTGAATTTTTTTAAAATCTTTCAAAAGGAGACCGAGCACATTTTCGAATATTAGGTCCGTTTTTGAAGATTAAAACGGCATATTAGAGAAAAATGTTGCATCGATGACTCTCCATTTGTGTACATTCTACCTACTAGAAGCATTATTTACCACATTTTTACAATATTTAGTAGGCTAAAAAGCATAAACACACTTTTTTTCAGAGACACCCTGTTTAATTTTTAAATTTTATGTTAATGCCGAATGTTTTCTACGGCTTTTCTGAGAAAAGTCTGAAGTCAAATAAAGGAGATTAGTTGATAAAGGAAATACTTCATTTATAGATAATGGCGGAGAAATCCTACTTGAAAAATAATATTTTCTTTATTACAATTAAATTCTATTTTTCATCTAACATACCTTGTATGAGGGTATTCTATATCCATAGGTTCCAACAACAAACTTCAATGTTTTGTCAGGTTTAGCATCGATTATGAAAACATCCGTGGCCGGGTCAAAATCTTTATTCTTCTTCTTTATCCTAAATTTAAAAAAAAATAATTTATGAATAGTTATCTATATATAAGGTTGCAATATTTGTTTGTATGTGAAATCATAACTCAGGAACTCCTTAACTGATTTGCCTCTAATTTCAATTGTGGAACTCGATAGAACCACGGGGAATATTATTAGCATGGTTTTGAGATTCTAAGTTGAGTGGGTCAATTTTAAAAGACATATTTTATAGTCCGCTAATTTGATCAAATGTGCTGAGTTGAAATCCTACCTACGCTCTGATGATGATCTTCTTCTTTGTCTTGATCTTGATCTCTCCCGTTGTCTTGATCGTGATCTTTTAGAATGTTTAGATCTTTTTCCCAACTTTGTTAAACTGGTTGATCTTCTTCTAGATCTAGCTCGTTTTCTTGATTTGGACCTTTTTCTAGATTTAGACCTTTTCCTGGATTTTGATCCTTTCCTTGTTTTTGAACTTTTACTTCGCGATCTGTTCTTTCTTTTAGTTTTTCTTAATCTTGAACTTTTGTGTTCCCTATCTTCTGATCCTGATCGGCTCGAACTAGAAGATATTGAAATTGGTCTTGATTTTGATCTTGATCTTGATCTTGAATCTGTTCTACTGCGCCTGAACAAACTATTTGTTAAAATCTGAATATGTTAACGTTCACAGAAAATTACCTTTTCTTCTCCTTTTTCTTTTTATTTTTAGATTGATTAATTTGTTTGATTCTAGCGGAATCTTGAAACTGCTGAAAACTTTGATTCTTCAACCAAACTGGAGTTTCTACTTGATCTGGAGCATCCTGTAATAAAAGTTCAGTTACGTCAACGGTTATTTCCCAATGTGCCAGGCCCCCTAGACTGTCCTAGCCGCGGCCCGCAGCTCGAAACACTAGCCAGTCATAACCACAGAATTTGGACCAGAAATTGACTTAACCTAACAAATATAACTTATCCTGATCCTGAAATAATAAAAAAAGAAATATTTTAAATTCGTATTGAAAAATAGAATGTTAATATCGAGGTATGGCCGAAANGAAACTTTTGATGAGAAGAAAATAGGTAAACAAAATTTTTTTCAATCGCATTAAAGTTTGTTTAATCTTGGTGTACTGTGAATAGAAGAGTTAGTTATGCTCAACTATTTTCTTTAAAACATTTCAATATAATTATAAAATAAAAAAAAATAAAAAAATAAATATCTAAAACCAATTTTCTTAGTTCTAAATAAAAATCTATAATAATTAACATTTGGAAGCAATATGTTATGTAATTGATTAAATTTCAAATAATTGTGAAACGTTGAGCAGGACACTACTAACCACAAATAAAACATAAAATCGGGACACTAGAATGACAGCAATTTTTTGACGGACAAAACAAATATTAAAATTTGGACTTTCAGCGCAAAATTACAGGTGGCAGAAAAGCCCGATTATTTAAACCAAAAGGTCATAAATATTCATTTCATTTGGTAGAAACCAACGTAATACTTTCAAGATTTCTTAAATAACTAAAATCATATTGATTGATCGGATCGGAGCGCCTGGCCCAATAAATGGACTTACGAAAAAAATTAGTTGAAATATATTTTTAGGCAAACAATTGCTTTTAAATTCCGTCTTTAGGATCGACAAAAACAGGTTAAATATAAGCAAGATCCTTTAACGTCTTTTATGAGATAAAAAACGCATCAACAACATTTAGGAATAGCGCGCGGCAAAGGTCCATTGGAAATTACAGGCTTTTTACTTACCGCAAGAGAGGTTGCGCGATTAAATCGATTTATATATTTATTTTTAAATTTATCTTTAAACTTTAATTTTTCATGTTTTAATATTTCTCCTCCCAAAAAAATAATTAATGTTGTGAGTAAAAAATAATAACATATAAGTGATTTGTTGTCTTTTTACGCCTGTGCACGTAAAGAATGGCCTTCTAAATCTTAGGCCGGTACGTGCGCGCATATGTCACTTCAAGGATATTACGCGCTCGTCACGGACTGTCAGCTGTCAGCTGTGCGCGTACCAGGTCAACACTTTCATGCCTCTGACTTCTGTTCTAATTAAAACACTTTCACGCCGGTTAAAGACACAAAGCGGGCTTAAACCTGACTTTAATAAGTTAATTTTGTGAAATTTGAGTTATTGTGTTTCATTTTTTAGAACAATAATAAGAATCAACATTTTCAGGGAGTTAGAGGCGATGGGGCGGGGAGTAGATAGTAAGCTTGGAGGGAAAATGTTGCGTGATATCATCAGTGCCTTTGGCCGGCGTCAGGTTTCTTTAATATTTTTCAGGTAAATAAATATTGATAATCAAATTTAATTTGTAGAACATTAGAAACTGACCGATGTGTTATCTCAAAGCCTTCCCACGCCCCTTCGTCCGATGAAGTGCTGCCATGGCGGGAGGGGGGGGGGGTATGCCTACGAAAACTCCGGTCGAATGAGTTAGTTCATATTTTCCGGTCACTCGGGGTTAATGTTGCAATTGGCTTTGATTTAAAATAACATTAAGTTAAACATAATTAATCTTATTCATTTATCTTGTGAATTTAGACTACGAAATTTATCAAAATTTTGACCATTCTTGTTTCAAATTATTATTCTTAAATATTTAGGTACAAGTACATGGTTCTAATTTTGAGTTGTGTACTTTTTCTCTGGGCTTGTTTAGGAGACTCTACTAGTTCTGTTAAATCAGTACATCCAGTACATCAGGCTTTAGGAACAGTACAAACCACTGAAAGTTTAGACTTTCTTAATCCACAATATTTAATTAGATTCATTTCTTCGAAATTGGATTTAGGAAATTTTATATATTTCACTTTTTAAATTATCAATTTTGAGAAAGTTAAAGATTTGAAATCTTGAATTATATTATGATTCTTCTTCTACAAGAACTATTTGAAATTAGAGTTTTACACTTTTTGAACCACTTTTCTCTCAATATCATGCCAAAAAAGGATAAAAACTAAATTTTACAGCTATTTGTTTAAATCTTCAGAGAACGCAATTAGAGCTGGGGTGTTTACAGGAATTTTTCCAGAGCGGCCCATAACCTATTTTATATTCTGGAAGGGGGGGGGGGCAAAGACATTGACTGATTCCCTAAGGAACTATTATTATTGATTAAGATTTATTTTTAGCAGCTGTTCTGTTGTAGCCTGAAACCTAGGAATATAATACATATTACCGTGGTTATATTCAGGTTAGATGAAAGGAAACCTAACTATAGACCTCAGTTTCCACATTCTCTTCGTTTGATTGGTGATGATTCAGTTTGATGAAATTCTATTAGTTTATTTTCTAAAGCCCCCCCCCCCTCCTCCTACATACCATAAAGAGTTTATATTTTCTCCTGAAACTTTTGATGAGAAGAAAATAGGTAAACAAAATTTTTTTCAATCGCATTAAAGTTTGTTTAATCTTGGTGTACTGTGAATAGAAGAGTTAGAACCTGAATACCCAGACTTCGAAGAAAAAACAGAGAAGGAGATTAATAATAGAAATATTAAAGAAACTGTTCACAAAACTGTTCACAAAACTGTTCATCGGAAAAAGGTAAAAACGACGCGGCACTCGTATTCTTCAAATTCGGTTTTCTTTGCGACAACTCTATAAATGATTGAACCCTCTTGATATTTTAATCTCTTTATCATCTCTACTTCTCTACTTCTCTACTTCTCTACTTCTCTACTTCTCTACTTCTCTACTATCTCTACTTCTCTACTTCTCTACTTCTCTACTTCTCTTCTTCAATACTTCTATACACTCTACTTCTCTACTTCTCTACTTCTCTACTTCTCTACTTCTCTACTTCTCTACTTCTCTACTGCTCTACTTCTCTACTTCTCTACTTCTCTACTTCTCTTCTTCTCTACTTCTCTTCTTCTCTTCTTCTCTACTTCTCTACATCTCTACTTCTCTACTTCTCTACTTCTCTACTTCTCTTCTTCAATACTTCTATACACTCTACTTCTCTACTTCTATACTTCTATACTTCTCTACAACTCTACTTCTCTACTTCTCTACATCTCTACTTCTCTACTTCTCTACCTCTCTACCTCTCTACCTCTCTACATCTCTACTTCTCTACTTCTCTACTTCTCTACTTCTCTACTTCTCTACTTCTCTACTTCTCTACTTCTTTACTTCTCTACTTTTCTACATCTCTACTTCTCTACTTCTCTACTTCTCTACTTCTCTACTTGAATTCTCATCTTCTGTATTTTTGCCTCTTACAAACAATGTATTTAAGATTGAATTATGTTTAGAAGGACCCGAGTTTACTCCGAGAAAAAATATTAAGTTCAAAAGTAGAAGATGAAGAACGAAGTAAATTATTAGTTATTCCGTCAGATTCAGAATCCAAGATTCATAATCAAGATTTAGATAAACAATACCAGAAACCAGTCAGGTAAAACCCTTCAACTTAAAACATAGAAATGACCTTGTGTACTTAAAATAGAAAAAATTTATATAATTATGTTGTGAACTTTTTAACTTTGTAAAGAAAGTTTCTTGAAAATTTTGTTAAGGTTCGTAAACCATAACTTGTGTATTTTGCACTCAATGAGTTTATCTATAATTGAATTTGTCTGTTGTTGTTGTTGTGTTTTTGTGTTGTTGTCGTAGTTGTTGTGTTTCTTTTTTAAGTTCTTTCCTTATATTGTGAGCACTGAACATGAAACATGGACGTTAATACTTGCTTGTTCGTTTAGATTTTGCTATTAATATTATATTAATAATATACTTCAGGAGAAAATAATTTTATAATTTAGATATAATTAGTCTTAAATTTTTATATATGGTTCGTATTGACAAGACATTGCTAAAAATCCTCCACAAAATTATTTTTCTAATTATCTTTTTTTTCAGTCCAAGAAGACGTGAAAATACTTTAAACGGTGTTATGATGAGAAATCAAGATCCAGGTATTTCAATATTTTTAATCGACCCCAAAAAAAAACTGCAAAAAAATTTCTCAGTCGTCCTTTGATCTTTGAAAAAACCACATACACTCCCTTTAAGATTTTTACTAAAACTTGTAACTCTATATTCTTGAAACTTATTATTAATTTATACATTCTAATTGAAGAGAGAAAAAATGAAGAAGTGGTTTTGTAAAACCAATTTAGTTCTTTCACTTTAAATCTAAATATGAAATTAGATTTAAAACTTTAAAACAACAAAAATCATTTTTATTTACTTCCAAAAAAATGTCAATTGTTTTGTATGTAATTTTATTCTATATTAGTTTGGGAACCCAGCGTAGCCAAGGTAACTAAAAGTTACTCCCACCGTTTACCCGCACTTAAGATTTTACCGGGAAACTGAATTGTCACTATTTTAGTCGACACACACAGCTTAATATCTCAAAATCAAGCTAAGAACATTACCGTGTGTCTCCCGAGTTCCCCAATCAAAATTTGAGGCAAATTTGTCCAGGGGTTCCCGAGTTATGATCGGACAAACAAACAGACAGACAGACAAGCAGAGATTACAGCTTTATATATCTAGAAAATACTTGATATATTAATGTAAATATTTATTTATTGTTAGATAAGTGTTTTTTTTCGATTATCATCACTTGAATAATATTTTCCAAGTTTTATTAAAAATAAATCTGTTTAGTTGACGTAGAGTGGGTTGTGGTCGGTGGAGCTGATATATACAAGGCTCAGGATGTTGGAGGAAGAGGAGGATATGACGAATTCCTTCAGGATTTTGCTAAACAGGTACAGCCTCTACGTTTTCTAGCTTTGATAGTGTTTAAATTCTGGCAATTCCCTCCGTTGTTTCTTAAAGTCACAGCAGGCGCAATTTCAATTGAATCTTAAGATAGAGACATGCCAGATTCACAACGGTACCCTTTAAACACTTACCTGATCAATAATTATGTTATTCGGCCTATTCCTTCTCAAAAGTGTAATTTTTTGCTTGGGTTATAGCAGGGTAAATAATTGTCGGAAAGTAAAGCAGAATTCCCCTCAAAATTATCTTTTTTTGTAAGGATCACTGGAAATGAACCGCTGTCGTTAAAAACTTGTCTTTGAAATATGTTTAAAGTTTTAAATTTTTTATCTGTAAAAGGTTTTTGTTTGTGATTTTATTATGAAAATTAATGGTCGCAACATTGAAATATTCTTCTTAACCAAAAAAAAACGGTTAAAGAAATAATGACGTTAAGGACCATAAACAATAGTTAGTGTGCATTTATCCCTTTATTAAAGAGCTCTTATGGTTCTGCCGTCTGGCGCACATACAGAAACAATAAAATAAATTTTTATATTTTTTACCAAATGTTTTATTCATTCTATCCTGTCTATCCATTCTATTCGTCATGAAACATCGAACCATAAGTTCTATTAATGGGACTTCAGACCAATTCTTAATTGATCCACTTTTTAAAAAAGAAGGGCATGTCAGATTCACAAAGATACCCTTCAAACATTTGACTGAGCAAAATTTATAAAAATATCCTCGTTTTTCTATCAAAGAATTGTAATTTCTCATGAGGGTTTCTCATTTAAAAGTGACTTGCGGATTTTATGAAGCAGAGACACAGAATGTAATTACAATAATCAGCATTTGTAAAAATGAAAAAAAGGCAAAATACTTCACGTTTCCGTCACTTCTTCTAAGCCAACATTTTCACATTTTAAAATTGTTTTGCATTGACTCTCTGAAAGCGAAAATCATAAATAAATCTTGTTTGATCTAGGTCGAGGGAGCTGGGGAGGGAGGAGAACCAGTTCATCTGTCTGGAGTAGAGAAACAGCAGGGGGAGGAAATATTGAAAAAAGAAGCTTTTAATCTAGTCGCAAGGTCAGATTTTACCATAGAAATATTCTCTTTTTCCCTATATTCGCATACCCGGTCAGATTTAACCAAACCTTTAGGTTAGATTTCTAACTTCCTCCCACTTTACTATTTAACACTGACTGGACACCTTCTTGATATATGAAATGGATTCTGCAAGTTGTTTGTTTATATTTGCCAATGGGGAATATTATTTTTACCTCTAGGTTTCCAGATTATTTGTATCATCCTTTCAGTTTCATTTTTGCTATTTTATATCTTTCAGTACAGTGAGATAATAATACGTTGGAATTGTGCCATGCACACAAAACCATTTACTTAATGTTGATTTTCAAACTGCTTGCGTACAGCATCAAATACGCATTCGATTGTTTAAATTTCGTTAACAGCGTTTGAGTCTTACTGTATTTTTCAATATATTCGGAGAAGTTGTTATTGAATTTACATTTTCTTGATAAAACCTGATATTTTTATATTTTCAGTGATAAGATAATATACACAAGATCTGTCCCAGATACAAGAGACAGGCGTTGTCAGGTACATGGTGAATATTTATTTCATGTACGTTGTACAGTTGTCAAGTACATGAAAAATAATTCTTTCAAGTACAGTTGTTGTACACTGTACAGGTTTTCCTTCAAAGAATATGACTTGAATGACAAGGTTGATTTTGGCGATGATACTTAAATTTGTTTTAAAAGGTATATTTAATGATCTTAGCTGAAAACTTTAGAATTGGATACCCTTAATCCCGATTGCTAAATCTAGATATCGACTCTGGAACTTTTAATTAAATTGTAAATCCTCTCTTTTGGATACCCCAGCTCCCCCAGTTGGATTGTGACAAATGAAAGATCTTTCATTGATTGAGTGCGCAAATTTTCAAAATTTCTCGGCAATCTGATTGGCTGTTCAGATTCTCCAATCGACAATCTGATTGGTTGAATTTTTAGTACTCTCCATGATACAAACTTAAGATTAAATTAATCTTGAGATTAAGAGAAAAGGAGATCAAGCATTGATCTTGATCTCCACAATTCTTAAGTTTACAGCTCTGACAAAAGATATTTTTTTCTTATTTTTAAGGTACTTCCGATTACTTCAGTATTATATAAATAATAAATATTTTATTGAGAGGGTCTGAGGATTTTCTTATTTTAGGCAGTACATTACGATGCTAATTTACCCACAGCCTCCATAGGAACGATATACATAAATATTTATTGTTTAAAGGGATATACAAACTGGTTTTAGATTCCAAAAAAATCTGCCTTTACCGTATACTGCGCATGCAAGTGGTCGAGATTTAATAGGATTTTCATCAAATTCTCGGATAGAAATGAATTAATACCAATTAAATCATAATTCATGTAGTTTGTTAAATACGAATATAATTTTTATGTGTAAGACAAATCTATTACTTAATGTGGAGAAGGTATAATTAGATTTTAAAATTATCGGATACCGCGGACAAGCGCACAGCGAAAACGACAAATTATCCAATTTTTGTTTACAAAATTAGTGTACTGCAGTTTCTGGGAGAAATATAAATACTGTTTTTTGAAGAGGTGTTTTTCTATTGAAATAGTTTGAATAAAAGATTCCCCTTTAAAGTTTTGCATTGAAGTGTTTGTTTAATCCTCTTAAAAACATTGAAGAGCAACGTGCCGTGTTGAGAATCATACTCGTGTGTTTTCAGTTATAAAACCGACAAGATTTTAACAAAAATAAAATAATGCAAAATTTGAACAACGCGGAATAAGAAAAAACAAACAAATATTGTTTATAAATAGATCAGAATACGTTTATATATAGTCGTCGTTTGATTGAATATCTTTAATTTAATAATCCCCCCCCCCCTGATATTCAAAGGTACCCTTATCAGCTTTGTATTATCAAAAGTGGCTTTTTCTAAATTGAAAGGTGTTTCTATAAATTTTCTCCATTGTTTCTGAACCAAAAATCCACATGCCTGGATTGTAGAGAACCCAATTTTTGGTAAAGAAATCCTTGAAATCTCACACATTCTTAATCAGACAACGCTTTAAAGAGTATCGCTATGAACCGGATGAAAAAAAAAATGAAGGATCACTTAAAATTACCTGTATATGTAGTCACCTTAAAGGGAGTGACCGGCAATGTATGGTAGGTGAACTGAGAATTTAGTATTTCATATTTCATATTTCATATTTTATTCAACTACAAGGCACGAGATAATACAAATAAAAAAATCACAATTTACTATGTAGTTTGGACCCGCCTAACCAGATTTACAAGTGCATTATAGACTAGTAGACGAATGTTTAACGGTAAAATGTTTTTAATCTGATTCAGAGCAAAAATTGAGCTAGCAATCTTATTGGAAACATGTTCAATTTGACAGTCCCAATTTAAAAATTCATCGATTTTGAGTCCAACAAATTGTATTGTGGAGAAATTTTCTAGGATTCATTTGAGACATATAAAAAGTTTTAATGATGTATAATTACTGAGATTGAGCGCAAAGTTGGCTTTTGAAACCATCCATTTGTGTGGTTACGTTTTGAGAATCGATTTTTCTGAAATTATTAAATAACGATGACAAAGAATGTACCAATACTTCGACAGTAAACTAATTAGTTGTTCAGGAACAGGTTGAGAAAATAAAAATTAACTGTTATCATTGAAAAAAAGAAATCTTATTCTATTATTAGTTTCTTTAATGTTTCATTGTTCACAAACATTTTCTGTAGGTTTTCTGGAATTTTTATTGAAAAGACGACATTTGAATAATTCTAAAAAATCTGCGAACAAATTCGTAAAGAAAAAGGAATTTAGTATAATGACGAAAAAGAAATAATTGATTCTAACATTGATTTATCGACAAATTTCTATTGAGAAATAATATCCTAAAAATCTAATTAGTTTGCTGTAGAATTTTGAAACATTTTTCGTCGTCGTATTTAATAATTTAAAACGTAACCACCCAAATTGATGATTTTGAACGTCGACTTTGCGCTCAAACTTCAGTAATTTTACATCATTAAAACGTTTTATATGTCTCAAATGAATCCTAGAAAATTTCTCCACAATAATACATTCTCAGTTAAAATACCATACATTGCCGGTCACTCCCTTTAAACTGGAGAAAATGTGGTTAATAATGATATATATCCGTGGATTAGTGATAATATTTACCAATGAAGCCTGGTCCCCACTCATCAGAACCATCTACAGTGTGCTCAACAGGAAACTCAGCCATTTTAAAAATCTGTTCTTAAAGTTTACTTTCTATGCTACCATATTGCAATGTTTCATTTGCTACAATTTTTAGTTACACGAGAAAATGGTCCTACTGTCGATTTTCGATCTTGTACAATGTACATATGGAACAAAATATTCTTTTTTGTCAAATTTTCTGTAGAAACCCATGAAATCTCTTAACTAAGACAATTAATTTAACATTTTTGTCATTGGTATTTAAAAATGGGGTATAAAGAGAACCCTTATAAATGATGGTAAAGCAACTTTAGTTTTTTAACCAAAATAACTAATATATTTTATTTGTCTACACAGAAGGTTGACTAAGTAATATTAAGGTCTCCTGCCGAGTTTATTCATGAAATTATTCTCGTCGACGATTTCAGCGACAAGAAACATTTAGGCATGAACCAATCAGGCTTTATCATGTACTAGTTGAAGGGCCCGACGTTGCCCGTGGAAAAAACATTGAAGAAAAAAATTGGGAAAAAAATTCGAATTTGTTATAGCCTATAACACTCCCCGGCCACCCCTGAGTGTAAATTCAAGTACAGTACAGTACAGTACAGTACAGTACAGTACAGTACAGTACAGTACAGTACAGTACAGTACAGTACAGTACAGTACAGTACAGTACAGTCAGAACAGAACAGAACAGAACAGAACAGAACAGAACAGAACAGAACAGAACAGAACAGAACAGAACAGAACAGAACAGAACAGAACAGAACAGAACAGTACAGTACAGTACAGTACAGTACAATATGGGTCCAGAAATCAATGAAAGCTAATTGAGCCCTGTAATTTGATAGGATCTAAGCTGGAGAGATTTATACGAAAATATTTCCCTTCTAAAGTTAAACTTCTCAGGTAAATTATATGGGAGCTACATACATTTCAATATTTCAAGTGTCATTGATAACCCAGAAAAAAACAATGGCGATGCTACCAATTTTTTGGGGCCTTTAATGTTTATATGATTTTTGAATAATTGCAAAGCAACATCCGGTCTAGTGACGCTTGACAAGAAACTATTTTTAGATATTTGGAAATTTTTAGATAAAAGAATATTTTCGGAATAAAAACATTTCTTACAGCAAAGTGTGTTAAAGTGGTTTTAAGTATGTTGAACGTGTATTTTTAAAGGTAAAGGAAGAATTGTAGGCAAGGTTCTAGTTTGAGTCGCAGTGCACGGTTCTGTTATTTTGTTTAACGTTTTATAATTATAAATATAATATTTTAGTTTGTTGAAAATGTACTATTTTACCTATAGATAGAAAGGTAGGCAAGGTTCTAGTTTGAGTCGAAGTGCAAGGTTCTTTTATTTTGTTTAAAGTTTTATAATTATAAATATGATATTTAAGTATGTTGAAAATGTATTGAGTCGAAGTGCAAGGTTCTGTTATTTTGTTTGAAGTTTTAAAATTGACGCTTCAAAATGTGGTTTGTGACAAAATAGTGAAAATCTTTTTAATGCTGATTGTGAGAAACTTCATAAAACTAAATAGTTGCTTTTAAAGGATTACTTTTTTCTTCACTTTAACAAATGAATTATTATCTTCTTAGGCAGATGATTTTATTTATATTAGTAAAACCAAACATTCGTTCTCAAATAATATTAAGATTAGATATTACAGCAGAATTAGTAAGTAAGTAAGATTTATTAGAGATAAATATCATATACATATTATAGTCTGATTAACATTCTCATAGGAATATAATTGAATATATCATGGGTTTTATCACAGATTAAGATAAGGTTATATCATAGGAAGTTTAATTTTCTCTGCATATAGGGAATAGCAGATTTTCTTTATTTCTCCGTCGTAATAAAAAGTTTCTCTGTATTGCGTCGTAATAAAAAATTTCTTAACAATTTACGAACAAAAGGTTTTTTTAAATTTAAAATCACAATTTTACCTTTTGTTGAAATTTTTCCTAAAATTAAAATGTTCTTTTAAACTAATATTGCATCCAGTAAATGATTTTATAATCACCAATTAAATGGGGTCTCAAGGAAACATCAATGACCCTGTCAGTTGATTGATTATGTGATAACAATGAAGATCATTTAGATATCTCATATTTGCATGTTTGACATTTATTTGTTCGGAAACGAAAAATTTGCAATCATTCAAGTTATTTAAATATTGCAGAATATCGCAGTGCTAAATTAATTTATTGCATCTTATTTAGAAAAGTTAAATATAAACGGAGTTAGCAGTAACCTACTTAAAATTAAATACTACCAAGTATTTTACAAGCTCACATTGTACATTGTTGCAGGTTGAAAGAGAGACAGGGTCTGATCAGAGCACGGTTGACCGGTGCAAGAGCAGCCACAGGTAGGAACCTTAAAATGTAGATCAGTTTACAAAACCCATGCATTGTGATGTTGCTTTTAAACGCTTTGACGTCACAAATAGAGGCGTATTCAGGGGGCTATGGGGTAAGTTCA